TAAATGTACAACAGTTAGCCCATTCCTCTAGCAGTCTGCACAAAAAAAAGACTCAGTTGTTGATTTGGTAATAAATGAACTAGGATACTTAAAAAAAATATGCACAATTTCAACGAAAATGTTTTTTGAGCTTAGTTTGCTGTGCAATCATTAAATTAGAGCAATTAGGATTGTAATTATTAGAATTAAATAAATCCTGAGGTACTTAGGATTTTTTATGTATTGGGCATGATTTATTTCTGTTTAATACATTTCTGCTTCATTTACATTAAAATATGTAAATGAAGCATTTATTTCTTTTGTCATTTCACAAATAAACAAGTTGATATATGTGCATATATACACATTAAAACACTAGGACATTTTTTTAAGCTTGTCAGTTAAATTAAATAAAACTAAAAAGAAAGGGGAAAAATGATTCAAATTAAAAGACTCTTAATAATGTCTCTTTTATCATTTAGGCTCACAGGACTCCGATTCCCTACACTCCGCTCTGCCTCTCTAAAGCCGTAAAGAACGCCACCGAGATCAAGGGCATGAAAATGGCCCATGTAAGAGATTTTGAGCCTTAAAAATGTGTAATTTACATAAAACTTGAGCCATTTATTTCCTTTTTAATTCACTTCCGTTTAAAAATAAAGCCAGGTGGTTTTTTTTCTCTATTGACAGATCAAGGATGCTGTTGCTCTTTGCGAACTCTTTGCTTGGTTGGAAAAGGAGGTATTTTTTTTTCACAAAACCTTTCAGTAAAACGTCTTGTTTATATTCTCTTCTTATGGATGTATAACTGGAGAATCGCAGCCGAGGGTCAAGCCTGGATCACGATTGGATCTTTTGATTGGGAACACTTTGTTCAAGCAGATGTGTTTACATCACTTAGTTTCACTCAAACTTGTAAGGGTGCCAGTGTTGTTTTTTCACTCCACTTGCCGTCGCTTCGGCGGCTGTTTCGTAGATCCCCAACGGTAACGTGACCGAGATCTCTGCAGCCGATAAGGCCGAGGAACTGCGCAGGTGATTTTCAGCTTTGTTTCTGGAAATGTGTGAAGGTTTGACGTTAAAAAGATGTATAGGAACTCTGATTTCTGCATTTAAAAAATATGAGAAATATTGCCCTCTACTGGACTTTTGAATAAGAAATGTGTCCACTGGAGGTGTAAAAAAAACATATTTTTATAAGACTTTATTTCGGGAGGGTGTTTTTTTGCTATGCACGTTATAAAATAAGCATATTTATGGCAGCATAATTCGCTGACGGTGGTTTGTAATTTAGTTTCTTTAATGTGGTTCAGCTTCCTAAAGTTTAGAGATTTTGAAACAGTGTGTGCAGGATGTGCTGAATGAATTTCTTTCCAGTCAGCAGAAAGACTTTGTTGGCCTCAGCTTCCCCACCATCTCCAGCGTGGGTCCGAATGGAGCCATCATACATTACCGGTCAGTAAGGAGACCAAACAAGCAAAACATGTGGAATAATTTTGACCTTTTATACAGCTGACCCACATTTCCTTCTTACAGACCCCTTCCTGAAACCAACAGAACTCTTACTGTGAATGAAGTTTATCTGATTGACTCGGGAGCTCAGTACATGTAAATATGTAGCCGTTGCATATCAAGTTATTTCATGGGATGCATTGCTTGATTCAGCTAATGTCTACTGAAATGAACGACCAAGAGAATTTGCGTTGTGTGTTTGGCAGCGATGGAACCACAGACGTCACCCGCACCGTACATTTCGGGACGCCTTCCGCTTTTGAGAAGGTGAACCGGTTTATTGTTGTAAAAATGGGCTTAACATATTGGTTAAATGGTTAAAGTCTGGTATAAATGTGGATAACTTTGCATTTTATTCCGCCGCAGGAATGCTTCACTTACGTGCTGAAGGGACACATAGCTGTCAGTGCTGCCATTTTCCCCAATGGAACCAAAGGTGAGGAGAGATTACTCCTTTAAGAGGATTGCTGAGTGTTGAGCAGAAAGTCATGAGGTCTGATGAATGAATTCACTCATTTCTTATACTTTATGGAAATGTATCTGGTATTTTCTTCTTCTTTTTAACTACAAGTCATCAGTGAACTGTCATATGGCTGAGGTTGAATTTTGCTAAATTGAGATGAAATTCTGTAAAAGCTTCACTTGACCTGATTTTGTAGAATTTTCACTTTGATATTGTGATATTGTTATAATATTGTTTTTGAAATTTTTTAAAATTTTTTGTCAGAAAAGTCAAATTTTGTTGACTGTAAAAGCACAAAAATTATAAAACATCCAAAGGGGTGAATATGCTTAATAGGCACTGTATGTATTTTGGATTTTAAACTAGGAATCTTCATATCTAAGATAACTTTTTTCATAAAATTACAACTCTGTAATTTAAATTTGACCTGGAAGCTGCAGCTCAGACCCAGAGAGCCGCCCACAACATCAAAACCACTTCCAAGGGCCCACACCAAGGCAATTTGTTTGTAAAAAAAATTTAGGAAATATGTGCTATGTATTTTAATGTACAGCTTTTTCTCCACAACTAACTGTGTGTCCAGGCCACCTGCTGGACTCGTTTGCCCGCGCCGCCCTGTGGGAGTCAGGACTGGACTACCTTCACGGAACGGGTCACGGCGTGGGCTGCTTCCTCAACGTCCACGAGGGGCCCTGCGGCATCAGCTACAAAACCTTCGCCGACGAACCTCTGGAGGCTGGAATGATCGTCAGCGACGGTACGACACGAGATGGGGAGGGGTTAAAGTCACCAAACTCAGAGAGGCGGCGGACAGAAACGAGCAACTTGTAATTTTTGGGGCTTTATTCCTAGAGTTGAACTGCTTGGCTTTGAGTTACTACATTCAGGGTCTGTCGTTTAGCATTTTGGGGTTTTATTTATCATTTTTCAGTCTAAGATAAGCTTTTGGAAAGAATTAAAACTGAATATCAAACTAATTTTAAAAAAATCTGATTTTTATTTATAATTTCTTGTCATAATCAGTTTAACATTTAAGCTGTAATGCTTTTGGAAGATTTATTTTTAGCTTGTTGATGACAACCCACTCATGAATTGTTTAAAGATCTAAATAAAGGTGGATTTACATTATATTTTCACCGCCTCTAAAAGGTTTCTGAGCTGAGTAACCTTGGCATTAGTTGATATTTGAAATATTTTTCGACATTCTCCAAAGACTACATTAAACTTCCCTTGTTTATGTCGTTTTTCTAGAGCCTGGATATTACGAAGATGGATCGTTTGGGATTCGTATTGAAAATGTGGTCCTTGTTGTTCCCGCTAAGCCCAAAGTAAAAACAAATAAAGATCATCTTGAAAAGCAATAAAATCCCATCTCCAATCGTCATGTGGTATAATTTCTGCCGTCTTTTCTGTTTCTCTTCCATCTGTGTTTCAAGTACAACTACAGGAACAGGGGGAGTCTGACGTTCGAGCCTCTGACTCTGGTTCCTATCCAAGTGAAGATGATGAACACGGAGCTGCTCACCCAGAAGGAGGTGAGAGACGTTTGCATCAAATGCGTCAGTTTTAGAAAACTGTAAGCAATCATGTACTTGATGCACTGGGTTTACTGTAAGCCGTCGTGACTCGGAGCAGAAAAATTCACAACAAATTTAAACTTGTAGAACCAGTTCTCGATTTAAACAGTCATTTACGGTGATGTTCGTAACGCACAATTAAATTACACATAAAAGCTTCAAACGTGCTGTGAAATTGTGTCTTTTCGGCATTAGCGGCATTAGCATTGTGTGCAAAACGAACAAAGTTTTGCGCTCATTTTGCGCCGTCCTCATGGCCTCTCCACCCTTGTGTCCCTGCAGAAGGACTGGGTGAACGAGTACCACCGGAGGTGCAGGGAGGTGGTTGGTGCGGAGCTGGAGCGGCAGGGCCGGGTGGAGGCTCTGCAGTGGCTGGTCAGGGAGACGCAGCCCGTCGTCTGAGGACTCCACGTCCTCTCCGCTCCGGCGATAACCGTTTCACGTCTTCTCCCCTCTGTCTGTGATTCAGGCTCTGCTTGCTTTTTTTAAACAACGCCACCAGTTTTATTAAAACCTGTCAATAGTCGCTTCAGATTCTTTTTCTATTTTGTGTCTCGGAAAATGTGACGGTGATGTTTTTAAAGATTTCGCCAATCCTTTCCATTAAAGGTACAATGTGCAAAAATCGACTCTGTCGTCAAAGATGTTTGAAAATTGTTTCGTTTTGAGCTTATTAGCTTCGTTTTAGTTTCTGAATTTGCTCAAATTTAGAAAATTTAGGAAACCCAGTGGACCAACGGCAACCGATGGTATGACTCCCTGGACCATCACTGAGTGGTTCACTCCACTGGACCTTGATTTCAAGATAAAATGCAACAGTTCCTTTCATCTGAAATGAGAATGTTGTACCACTTAGTCTGGCTAAGAATCTAATGACAGGAAGTTCAGAAGCTGCATTAGAAAACACAAAAGGACAAGCTCACAACCTGGATATGGTCAGCTATTGAATTAACGACTCCAGCAATGTTCATATCTTTTGAATCTCCCTCCAAGCTCTTGAAAACCTTTTGATTTTGTTTTCACTGATTTCTCTCTCATGTCTTCCTTTCACTCAACTTTCCACAAATGCTTAAATGCGCCACTTTGTGAAACTACAGCTGTTTGCGTTTTATTCTCCTGTGGAGAGTGTCAGTATCTGTCTGCAGGACAGCTGTGCAGTTAGCAGACTTTCCCCATGATTGTGATATAACATTTCTGTATTGAAATGGTTTTGGGGTTTTTTGGCTATTATAACTAAGCAAGCTAACCCTGATGAAGGCGATTCCATTTCCTCCTGGCATGAATAACTCCAGACTGTGTATCATGTTCGTCACTGTCAGAACCAGGGTGTCACTATTTTTATAACAACATAATAAATATTACAAGTTTTATTAGTGTTTACAAATGAGTTGTATTAAGGCACTATTGCAAGGTATTTTTTAAATCAATGAGTCCAAAATAACGATGCTAAAAATCAAAGAAACACTGGAAACGACAGAAAAACGTGTTTATTGTACCAAGCTATCCATCCCAATGTTCTTTGCTAAAAGGGAAAAAGAAAAGCTACGTTCATGCATTTGTCCTTTTGGAGATATGTTGTGGGATTTCCTCCAGCCTCGAGTTGAATATAAGGATTATATTTTGATTTTGAGTCCGGGTCGTCATGAAGTCCAAACTTTAATGAAACAGAAGATGAATCCTTTAACCTACAAGCTACAGACGGGGTTATCTTCACAGCTAATTCCTTTCTAATCGTTCAAAGCTGCATGTAAAATATAGGAGGATCCAGGATGTATCCGCTGGCGTATTCTCGTAAAGATGGCGGCATTGTCAGCAAAGTCTGCTGCTGCTGCTGCGGCCTGCTGGCGGCGCTGCTGGCGGCTTTTTTGTGTTCCTCCTCCTCTTCCTCGTTCAGTCCCACGGGCAGAGGGTTGCTGTAGATGAAGTAGACCCTGGAGTTGTCCTTCGCGGCCTCCGGCCTCCTGAAGAGCGCCAGAGGGTTGATGAAGCTGGCCGACCGCTTCACGGCTTTGACCGCCACCGGACTTTCCGGCTCGCCACGAGCCACGGCGCTCTCGTAAACGAGGGCTCTCTTTGACTGCCTGAGGACAAAATGCCATGTCTCAGTTTATGTCACAGCTGCCTTCGTGTTCATAAACTCACTGTGAAAAACAAATTGTCCTCTTTCATATTTTTCTTCTCTCTGTTTTATGTTTTTTTTGGGGGGGGGGGCGGTCACAGATTAAATACAAGCATCAGTTTTTAAATGAGGATTTTTTTTATTAGGGGGAGGAAGCTATCCTTTATATAAATATAAAAAAAGGGAAGTAATTCCCTCTTATTAAATCACGAATTGCCTGTAATTAATGCACAGTAACAGAATCTGCCTGAGAACAAGAATTAGATTCAGGAGGCATCATAACGTTCCCCAGTCTTAAAGGGACAGTATTATACAACGTCCAGCACAATCAGCTTAACGAAACAGAGCCTGTCTCTTTAAGAAGCCCCTGCTCTTTCTTCCGCTCCTCGCCACAACATTTCTCCATTAAGCCATTATCAACATTTCCACCAGCATTGCACTGAGAATCAGCTTCCACCGGCTCAGCAGACGGGCGGTTCCACCAGACGTTTGCTAATTGCTGCAGGCCTCGTTGCCACAGTTAAAGTTCATCTGTCAGCAAAGCAAATCCATTGGAGAGTTTTCAAATAGAAAACCACAGCATGACAGACATGACTTGTTAACCCTCTCAGGCTGAAATTACTTGCAAAGACTAGCAAAGTAGCATTTAGCTGTTGCAAATCTGCAACATCTGCCTGGAGAGGGTTAAAAACATTAGATTAGATACCTGTGGGGAAATCTTCTGTGGACTGTCCAGACAAGAGCTAAACATCATAAAACCACCGCTGCAATTTAGAAAGAGAACATCATGCCAATGGGCCGAGGACTGCTTTGCTTCTTCGTGACGCGTAATTTCTGAAGTCTTCAGTTTGCAAACTTATGGTTCGCAATCGTAATCGGTCAACTTGTCGATGGATCAGCAAAACAAAAATGCAAGTTTTCTCATTGCCAAAGGGACTTGAATCTGATTCAGACATTGTTTCATGACCTGAAGCAGGTTGTTTCCAAACTGGCAGAATAAAAACCCATTTGTGGACCAGGCTGGTTTAGATAGCTTCTTTCCTTTAATAAATAAAATCCTCATTTAAAAAGTGATTTTTTTTCCTTTAGTAAAGTTATCTATGTCTACAAAATTAACTTGATGGTGTGAATCATATAAGTGACAAAAAAAAAGCAAAACATTCTGTAAGTTTCTGTACAGCCTGTGAAATTCCCTTCGACTCAAAAAAAAAATATGCTGCAGAAGTTAATGGGATTGTCCCGCGTTTGTAAAATGAAATTTGGATAAAGATTGTTAGACTTTTTAAGTTTTTTTTTTTTTTTGCTTTCAACATAGGCCAAACTTTGCATCTTAGAATCACTTAAGACTCGGTCAATTCTCTTCCTGATTGTAAAAGCTGATTCTTACAGTCAGACAACTTGACCGAGTGTCGTGTTTGTGTATCGAGGAATCGCCTGAGATCGAGCGTTTAAATCAGTGAGACCGGCGTGTCGCTCCAACGCCGACCTTTAACATCTCAAAGGTGCGAGAGAGACTTTGTGCCGACCTGCTGCGGCTGTAGCAGACGCTGACGCAGTACAGGCCGGCGACGGCGAGAACGAACGAGGCCAGGCCGATGATGACGACGTTGAACACTCTGACCTCTGGGTACCACAGAAAAACAAACAGGCCGCCCTGAACATCTCACAGAAACTCCTCTGTTTGAAATCGTTTCTGCGTAGCCATACCCACCAGACGTGGGCGTGTCCGCCTCCCCGTCCTGTGGTTCGAAACCCATCGTCCTGTTCAGAGGGAGTCTCTCCGCCATCGGGGCTCCGCTCATTCTGCTGCCATCGGCGTCCAGAGCTGGGAAGAAAGACTCCTCCGAGCCTCCAATCGCCAGATTCAAGAGAGCTTGAATCAACCATGTGACTCAAGCGGTTCGGCCGCTGCCATGGCGACGCCCTCGCATCCTTTGTCAGTTCCAGTTGGACACCCTCCTTCCTGCCCGTCGGCTGGTCCCGGCCTGCTTGCTGCTCATTATTCTGCAGCTTTCTGGGGGCCCACACCGAGGGGAGGGAGATGCCGTGCTTGTTACCCTGTGGTGGGATCTGAGTGGTGACCCAGAACCGGTGGGTTTGCATGCTTCCACCCACCAGACAAAAAGCGTCATGCCGTGCAGTAAACACACAGCTCATGCAATTCAAGTCGCCTGGAGTTGCAAGCCATGAAAAGTGACACAAAGCCGAAGTTGAATTTAAATGTATTGCTGTATTTATTTATTCCACATCAACCAGTTCTGAAATATTATTGTTATATCTATACAGAGTGTCTGGTGTTGCTGACAAAGTGTTAAAACTCACTGAACTCCAGTTCCCACTTCTTTTTATTATTATAATTATTATTCTTGATGTTTACCTCGTTCTTGGGTGTGTGTGTTTTCTTTTTTGAAGACAGCAGCTCAGTGAATTATTTTAAACTGACAGCAGAGTTTCACAAACTCCCAGGAAATAAAGCTCAGTAGCTCCAACAAGTCCAAAACAAGGAAACAAAGGCAGCTTTTTCCTTTTTCTCCCCCTTTCCGCTTCAGGTCACGATGAACCATGATAGACATTATGTAATATACCAAAGTGCCCAATTAAACTGATGCTATTGTGTTGTTTTCGAAGCCGCCACACAAAATGAACCAAGAAAGCGACCGGGGTATGAAGTCTGTGTGTTTACGAAAGAGCTTCTAAAGTCACTTTACAAAGAGCAGAGACACAAAACAGGAGCTGGACAAGAAAAACTGATGAAGAAAAACTAGTGATCAAAAAGAGGACCTCTGTCATCTGTAACATTTTATTATGTGAATGATCTGGTTAACATGTTGTTTATCAGTATGTCAGTTCAGAAACATACACACAACTCCAATCGATTCTTATTTCAAAAACGACAATAAACACAAGACGGTTTCAGAATAAATAAAAAAAATCAGATTCCTAGAAATTAAAGGCCATTTATTTTATTTTTTTTGTTTAACAGAAATTAAAATGGACTTTGCAAAAAAAAATAAAAAATGCCACTTTGCTTTGTTGTGCTAATGATTTTCATCTGTAAATATGTAAATCATACATTCTTGAGATGTTTCATTTTTAAAAGTCCAGAACTTTTTAATTTCTGCAGGTATTTATGTGTCTCATCCACTGGGTGGCACTGTCGTAGCCAAAGTTGACTTTTTAAACAGTGTTTCCGTGTTCCCAAACTCCTGCAAAGAACAGCAGGCTTTTATTATGTACCACTAATGGTACCACCAAGTGTCTTGCATTTCCTCTGGACCGGACGGAGGGTGAAAGTGTGATGGACACGCGGGTCTCTGCTGCAGCTGTTTGCGCTGCTGTGCTGCAGCAACAAGGTTCAAATCCTCTCTGCGTGGTGTTGGCTTGACCCCAGGGACTCTGTGGGATCACTGAGAACCAGCTCAGTGACTGCAGACTGACAAATGGTTCAACACTTCCAGCTTTCTGCAAACAACGACAGCCTTAGTCAAGCACTTTGAATTGCAAACGTGTTTTTACGGCTCGTTAAAGTATCTCTTACTGCCTTCTCTGTTCATATGAACGGAGGAGTCTGTGTTGGAAGTACACAGATTTTTATAAACTTTCTAAATGGCTATTTATATTTGGTTCAACAGTTTGCAGTGAGCTGAGCAACAACTTAAATGTTCATAAAACACATTAAATAGTTACATTTAGAAACTATTCAGACTACGAATGTTACACTTTCTTACAGTTTTACAGCTGCAGTATGTAACTTTTATTAAAATATTTTTTTACACATTTGTTCTGGGCTGTGTGAAGGTTTTCTACAATATTGGCACTTAAGTCCAGAGCCTCCCAGGTTGGAAACCACTGCAGGTGCATCAGGCTCATCATCTGATCACCTGCCAGACGGTTTCCTCCACTAGGTGTCAGACGCCGACCATCCAATTTAACTCTACTTGCGTCTGAAGTGTTTGCCGGTCAAGTCTTTTCTACCAGAGTTGTGTCAGTGTATGGAAGATGAACACAGTGAGACTCATTTACCTCTATAAAATTTTGTAGAGTTAAAGAGGCTGGAATCTGCTCTTTTTTTCCTTTTTTTTGTCTCAGAAATTCATGAAGTCCATCCAGACTTTCTGCACAGCAACTGTGTGGTTTTTTTTTTGTTGGTTTCATGTCAGTGTGTTGTGTTCATTTGAGCACAACAGATTGCGTGAACCGACTCAGTCAGGAGAAACTGTTTCACTTTTGATCTTAGTTGTGAGCTTAATCCTAAATATTAATATAAAAAAATCGTATCGAGAAATTTTGGATGGAAAAAAGACACAAAAAAAAAAAGTCCAGTTTGGGGTGACGCGGCGTCACTTCTGTCCTTGAAAATCCTCCTATTTGTTTTCCCGTTTCCAAAACAATTCCGCACATAATCGTAGAAAAGAGATGGAAAAGACTCGTTGCGTCGCTTTGCGGTCATTGCTGCCATCTTGCCTCCTGTCGGTGATCACATATGGGGAGTCAGCCCCGTCCAGACCTCTAAAGTACTGACACACAATAGACTCGCACATAAACCACCGCGGATAGAGCTTTAAAGGTCACAAGAAGTTTAATTCTCACAGCTGCTGTCATTTCCCCAGTGACTTTTCACTTTTGCTGTGTTGCATTCAGACTCGGCAGTGAGGAGTATGTTGAAAGTCGTGTCAGCTTTCAGGACATGTTTAATGCTGCAGTTAATGCAGCAGCCGATCCACCAGCAGCACCTCACTTATCAGTGCAACGGCCTCATAACTTCTCGCCTCCCCATGCATGAAAATCCTCCACCGCGCAGCATCTCGGGGTTAAGAGTCGAGTTTGAGACGCTTCTTTATGGAGGAGCTTACGGAGATGAAGTGAGTGAGATTTAAACGTCACTCCTCTTCCTCTCCACCCCGTTTTCTTTATGTTCCCACTGTGAGATTTATGTTTTGAGAAGTCCGACGCGGCCTCCCTCCCGGGTTCGCTCTGACGCAACGTCACAGAAGAACAACAAGTCGGTGGCTTTTAAACGCTCGCGCGTCGGCGGAGTCCCGAATTTCGTTTCTGCTTTAGCTTGTGAAAAATCAATCGTTCATCTCTAAAATAATCTCCCCTGGAAGCCCCGCGGACTCTTTAAAAGCCAGCGGGGAGAATTCCTGTCCCGTCCCTCATCGCTCAGCTTCACCCCTTCTCGCCCTCCGGTCCATTCTGCTGACCCCTCCCCTCCTCTCTGTGTTTACCCAGAGGCTGGTGAGGAATTAGGGTTCTGCTGCGATCCATTTCTTCTGACGTGGTTCAGCGGGAAGGTCCTGCCTTGATTTATTGCAGTTGCGAGCTAAAGGTCTGGGAGTGAACCGCTGACTGCTTTCTGACAGTTTCTGACTCCAGTCATTATTCGGATGAGGGATCGTGTGACGCTTGTGAATGCAATAGAAGGAGCCGCAGCTGATCAAAGTGCATTTGTGCGCGTGCAATAACTGTGGGATTTATGGATTGAATGCAACATGGGGTGTTTGGAAAGTCGGTGGCTTTTTGGGAGCGTCGTCTGCAACCTGCGGCTCCGGGGGTCACGAGTTTGACCTTCAGCAGCGACTCTCAATTAAGAACTTAGATGAAATAACAGACATGGGTTTTTAACAATTTGTCAGTACATTTATGCAAAATTTGCATTGAATTTCCACACAGAATGACACTAAAAGCACTGGTAATATGTTAATATTACCAGTGGTAATATGATTTTCTTGTCATTTAAAAAAACAAGAAAACGTTTCCATCCCACAAAAAAGAAAAAAACATGTTACTAAATTTCAATCCATCAAAAAAAATCCTAAAAATATAAACAAACTGGTGGTTCTTTCCAATGTTACGATAATTATTGGAAATAATGAAAAAGTTATCTTATCTTAAGAAGTTCCTTTAACATTACATTTTCTTTAGTTCAGGATTCTCTGAAGAGCTACTTAAGATGGTGATGGTCCTGTAGCAGTCTGTATCACAACGCATTTGTAGAGCCTCTGACTGAAGACACTCTGCTTTTCTATGTCAAATTCAAAAATGCTTAGATACTAAATATTCATCTAGAAAACTTTGCTCAGTCGCACTTAATTTATTTGTTTTTAATGGGGTGGGGGTTATTCCTTCCTCATTTTTCATATGAAAGCAAATAAAGAAAGGAACAAATAACCAATTAATAAACCGACATATCAAGACTTTCTGGGTTGATTTTTAGAAGCAGGGCTGATTTCTGTCACATCTGAGAATGTCTAACCGTCAAACATGGCGGCGGCGATTCTGCTTATGCAGCCATGTGAAAACCACGCATCACTTTGACCCACCGTCAAAATCTTGCACTGCACGTTTTGTCGCCCTACGACAAAAAACAAAAGTTAATTCATTCATTAAACGCATTCAAATTTATGGCTGTAAAGTGACACAATTGGGAAAAGAAGTGAAGGGATGCGGGTGCTTTTTGATGCAGTCTTTGCACTTAATTTGGAGGAATAACTAAACTGAGGACCTTGTGAACAGGAGCACCGTGTGTTTTCTGATTCCTTTCCTGCTTCTGTCACTCAAATCCTGAACGAGCCCCAAACTAAACTCTCATCCTGTCACAGTTAGTGAGCGGGACGGCTCATCCTCTTCGCTCAGACTCGCCACAGACTGGACGCGTCGTTGGCAGAGAAGCAACAACCTGCTGCATCCATGAGGAAACCCAGGCCTCACCTCTCTGATCGCCAGCAGCAAGAACCGCTTGGTAAATGGGTCGGCCGGCTGCGGCTGCCGCACGCACATTCTTGGGATTTACTAAGAGCCGGAGCCGTCTAAAAGGGATTGCTAAACGCTGATGGATGTCCAGGAAAACGGAGGAATTCTGGCTCCTCCAAACATAAC